CAGATCTGTGCTCAATTCAATGTCTGGTTTCACTTAGCAATCCTCCTTTAATTGCCACACCATCCTTTCTTTCCCTGAGCACTAAGGCACCCCAGCGCACCATCAAGTTACTTACAAACTTCAGAAGGCAGATGTTTTCTCTCAGTGCTCCTATGCAGCCAGCGAATCCCAGAACGAACATCACTCCCCCGACCACCAACACAAGTACCACTGGGTCAAAGCCATGGAGACGAGTTACTTTTGTGAGATCAGATAACACACCCTAAAGAGAATAATCACAAGGAAAAACAGATCAAAATAAGTACGTGCTTCATTTACAAAAATTTCATTTTATTCCCTCCATGTTCTACTTCTGTGTCCTCCTTCTGTGACATGCATCTGACGAAGTGGGTCTTTGCCCAAGAAAGCTTATGCTCCAACACTTCAGTTAGTCTATAAGGTGCCACAGGACTCCTCGCCACTTTTGCAGATTCAGACTAACACGGCTACCCTTCTGATTCTGTGTCCTCGTACATTCACACATTTTTTATTAATTCAGTGTATTTGCAAACAACTACTTGCTATACAGAAATGTTTTCTGGAATTTTTAAAGTGTGCAATCTTCCATTTTCTTATTCATGTGTTATACCTTGCGATGCGTCTCCCAAGGGTCAAGCAGTTCTCATACCAGGCCTTCCTAATCTTTAGCTTCTCTTGCTCCCTGGCTTGCCTCCCTACAGGTCATCCAATAAGCTGGAGGGGGAAAAGGAGGGTCCAAGGGACCACTGAGACGGGAGAAGCTCAAAGAGAAAGAGAGCAGTGCCCCAGAGGGAATGAAAGAAATGTGAGATTACTCCAGAAAAACTGGCAGAGCACAATGCTCTTCCCTCCCCCATTTCATACCTGGGAAGAGAAGATTACTGTGAATCTTCAGCTATGCATGTTTATGTCAACTCGCCACAAAAGTAAGATCCTTTTACTCTTGTGTAGGCAGCATTGCTGAAGCTCTCACTCAAATATCTGAAAACTTTAAGGAAGTCTAATTTATTTCGCTATTGTGTTAAATTAGAACTAGGACAGGCATTGAGTAAAGAGAATGCAAAGGCACTAAACATTAAAAAAAATAAGCATGAAAAGCCATTAATGCCACAGTGATGTTGTAAAGCAAATTCTGGAACAGGAATACAAGGCATACAGATAAAACGCTACATGCAACTGCTAACCCCATGAACATACCTTGCATATGACCCTCTAAGCCAGGGGTCCTCAACCTTTTTCTGAGGCCCATCCCAGCATGTGATAAAAACACACTCCACAGCCCAGCCATCTGTGTTACCACTGTTTTTCAGCATAACACTGAACCTTGACTTTTGTTAAGGGGCAGAAAGTGGGAACCCATGCCCCAGAGAAGCTAAGTTGCTCAGTCTTGGCTTCAGCAATGCGTGGCAGGGCTCCAGGCTTCAACGAGATGCAGTGGGGCTTTGGTCTTCTGCCCCAGGCTTGGAAGGCCCTCTGAAAGACGCTTACCACACCCTGAGACTCAGGACCCCTGGCTGAGAACCACTGCTTTAGGCCTATGGAAAGCTTTCACATCACAAGGAGGTTTTCCTAGAAAGGTTTTTATAAATAGATGTTTGATCACAAACACCATTTCTTCATCAGAGCACACTGGTTGAAGCAAAGTTTCAATAAAAAAAAAGTGACAGAGCTCACAACGTAGCATGAGCATTGCAAAAATCTATCTTCATGCAGGTTTCAGCTACCACAAGATGGTGCTGAAAGCCTGGAACCATCAGCTTCAAGCCAAAGGATTCAAACTAGTGCCACTACAAAACAACCGTGTGGACAGTGGCACACGGGAAGGGGGCTTTCAGGTCCTGAATAATGTCACAGCCACTAAGGCAGTTACAGATGGTCGGTCTGTGGAGGAATGTATTTGTCTTGAGACACATTTTCCCCTCAAGACACTTGGCTGTACTCTTGACTTTAATTCATCTTGACTCCTACCATGCTGTGGATGCCTCCTAGGACATACGGCTGCAAACTGAGGGAAAGCAATATATCAACAATCTTATGCCAGCATTGCAGGGGAACATACATCAAGACAAATTAATAGTTCTTGAGACCATCTGATGACATGGACACACAACCCATCCACCAATCTGGTTGGTGTGTATTTTCAACAACACTTACCTTCCCACTTTATTTTGGCTATCGCTGACCGTTGACTAGCTTATGCAAACACACCTATTATATACTTCTCCACCCACCTCCTGTTTGTTATGGTCATTTACCAAATCTTAGATGGGGAGTTCTATGGTACTATTTTTCTGTGACATGCTTGCACAGGGCCTATCATGATGATCCATGCTGACCAAGGTTTTTAAGACACTTACTGTAATAGAAATTATGGAAGAACTTCATACAAAATGTAAGTATATAACCATGATCTTTTCTAGAAAGCTGAAAGTAAATAAAAGCATAATAATTACAATTATAATATTGTGATGGAGCATGGAACAAACTATGGTTAGGATTGTGTTTTATTAAAAGATACACGATAAAGGGGTGGGAAGGAAAAGACAAATTTTTGGTAATGTCCATTGGACTTCCAAATTTGTGAAAGCTGGAAGCGTCCCAATAAGTTACCAACAACAAGAATACAAGAAGCTCTCTCAGAGAGAGTCTTTCACTCTGATGAAAAAATGGGTCGTGATCAATGTTGGCAAGTGTGCCCTGAAATGAAGATTTGTGGTTCTTTCAACCCAACAAAAATCTAATAGTCAAGAGACAGACACAGAGAAATCAGAAATATAAATTTATAGAAGCAGCCTAATGCTGTCAAAGCATTGTATGTTGCCATCTTGCTATTCAAGGGAGACAGCATTGCTGGAGTAACTGAAAATACATCACAAAGGCAAAATTTGCAAGAGACACAATACTCTCCTCTAAAAAAAAAAACCCCATGTAAATATAAAAGTAGGGTACTGCTTTAGGGAAAGTTTGTGGCATAAGCTGCTGCTGTTGGAAGAGGGGCAGCGCTGTGGTGATATTTAAGAGTTATTGAATATTTCCTGCATAATTAAAATAAACTGCCAGATGGCAGAGCTGCCAGGTTGGCACCAGTAACATGTTGTTAGAACTTTACTTTTAATCAGCATGTGTCAAAATCAAAAAGGAATAAAGAGGAAGAGCAGTCCCATTCTACAGTTCCCACTGACCAGTCAAAGCATGGGCATCCTCCATTACAGAGTCACAGAAAACATGTAGATTCCCTCATGATTATGAATGTCTGATATAAAAAGTGTTCTTGCTAGATGAAGCAGTGAGCCATCCACTGGTTTAATTGGAGACGTGTTCTTATTCCCTGTGACAGGCACAATTGGAATGTACGTTTATTACCTCCAGCCCTTTTCGGTTTCTCTTTAAGCCCTGGCTCCCCAAAACAACAGCCCCAGAGCAATGGAAACAGTCAGTAACAGGATGTTTGCACCGTAATGACTCTTTTCATAACCGCTCTACTCATCTCTTCCCACCTTGAAACCACTCTCCCGCCCTGCAACTCCCCTGTCAGCTCAAACAGATCTGTGTACAAGAGGTTTTCCTGTGAACAAAGTTTTAGGGGAAAAAAGCAAAATGGGCTGGACTCTGGCACTCAGTGCCAGATACAGCACTTAGGAAGGAATCCAGGTGATAAAAATCCCTGCTGAAGAATTAATCTGAATTAATTCTGATTGAAGGGGAAAGGGTGAGGAATGCAGCACTATGAAGGAGCCAGATACATTTGGATGAGTTTCCATTGGGAGGTAGTTCAGAATGTCTCCTTAACTCTTTCCATATCCGCTTCCATTGATGATGAACTTTTTTCTGCTTTATAAATAAATTCACATCCCTAGTTTATTGCAGCATCATAGCTCATGGAGTTGTTTTTCTACTGTACATTTAGGGCTCGTCTACACTGGCTTTTCCGAAAGGGGCATGCTAATTTCACAGGTCGTAATAGGGAAATCCGCGGGGGATTTAAATATCCCCCGCAGCATTTAAATAAAAATGTCTGCCGCTTTTTTCCGGCTTTTAGAAAAGCCGGAAAAGAGCGTCTACACTGGCCCCGATCCTCCGGAAAAAAGCCCTTTTCCGGAGGATCTCTTATTCCTACTTTGAAAGCTGGAAGAGTCCCAATAAGTTACCAACAACATGAATACAAGAAGCTCTCTCAGAGAGAGTCTTTCACTCTGATGAAAAAATGGGTCGTGATCAATGTTGGCAAGTGTGACCTGAAACGAAGATTTGTGGTTTTTTCAACCCAAGAAAAATCTAATAGTCAAGAGACAGACACAGAGAATTCAGAAATATAAAGAGTATCCTCCGGAAAAGGGCTTTTTTCTGGAGGATCGGGGCCAGTGTAGATGCTCTTTTCCGGCTTTTCTAAAAGCCGGAAAAAAGCGGCAGACATTTTTATTTAAATGCTGCGGGGGATATTTAAATCCCCCGCGGATTTCCCTATTACGACCTGTGAAATTAGCATGCCCCTTTCAGAAAAGGGGCCAGTGTAGACGTAGCCTTAGAGTTTGATCTGCATGAAGAAGTCGACCATACAGATTCACACTTGATCTGCACCAGTGCTGAAGGATATCAGTAACATCAAGGGTTTTAGACTTTAGTTTCTCTCACCGGTTGATTTATCCTATCCTTAGCCAGCAACACACACAGCTTATAGGTCACTCAAATGTTAAGCCACAGACTTTAGGTATCCTACAGGTCATTTTCAAGATTTGAGTGTATCAACAGCAAGAGCCAACAGGAGGAAAAGCAGAATGACATATGAAAAAGTTACAGGACAGAGAAGTGTTAAAAGAGATCTAACAATATCAATTTAGCAAAACTTCCCCCTTAAGCAAATCCAGTATGTTGTTTACACCATGAGGCAGATGGAGATGGTTATGTGTTTGCCATTACTGTAATTACAAATAGTAGGCACTTCTTTTTAAACTGTGGACAGCACAGGAAGAGCTTAATTAAAGAAAAGGCAGAATCTGCAAGACCTGTTTGTGCTTTACAAACAGAAATGCGTTAATTACATTAACATTTCACATAACATTCAGAGAAAGGAGAATACAGGTAAGAAATGTTTTTGTTTGTTTATCTTTACTATTGTCACATAATGACTAGAAAATGTGTAATAGGAAGTAGCATAATCTCATTCACCAAACTGGCCTTCACATTGCATTCCTATCAGAACAGGAAAAAACCCTAAATAAATTCATAGTTTGCATTTCTTTTTGTCCTTAGTGGAAAACCATAAGTGCAAACTTTTTCCATTTTCCAAAACAATGAAGGAAGTATAGGTCCTATTAGGGATGTTAAATTTTGAGTAACTGACTGATCGAATAGTCGAATTGCATCGACTATTCTATTAGTCGATAGGATGCCTCTGCCTTTGAAGTGTAGCAACAGACCTAAAGCTGTTGCTACACTTGAAAGGCAAAAGCACTGCGGGGAGCATAGGGCCAGCAGGGCAGTCCCCCACTGGCCCTGTGCTCCCCACGGTGTTTCAAAAGCGTCAGCGCCATGTAGAGCCTGGGATCAACTGGGAACTCCCCTACTGACTCTAGGCTCCACGTGTCGTTTCAAAGCAGCAGTGCCGCATGGAGCCCGGGGTCATCGGGGCAGTCCCCAGCTGATCCTGGCTCCACGTGGTGCTGCCATTTTGAAATACCCCCCTTCACCTCCCCTTGCTGCCTCTTTCTGACAGAGGCATTTGCTTATTGGAGAGTCGACTAGTCGTTGACATCCCAAGGTCCCATTAAAATAAATACATGGCTTCTGCTGGACTCCTGAAAATGGTCAAATGGTTTTCTATAAATCACTAGTAAAGGAAGCAAACATTACATAGAACTCTATTTAAAATGCACACACTGGGCAAGATAGTTTTCTAGTGTAGACGTGCCCCCAGCAGCTATTTCAAAATAACAACTCCGAAAATAACTATTTCAAAACGGGTCCACTAGGGATGTTAAATTGCATTTGATCAGCTAATTGAATAGTTGATGGAATTTCTATCGACTATTCGGTTAGTGGATAAGAATGGAAACTGCAGAGCCACAGCAGGGTTAGCTCCCAGCCCCAGGTGCTAGGCTCTTAATACATTTAAAAAGCAGAGGCGCAGTGTATGTCTGCTATATGTCTGCCTCCCCTGCCCTCCTCCCCCACGAATACAGCGCTGGGGGGGAACCGGCTTATCGTGTAATCAACTAGTTGATTATATCCCTAGTGTCCGCACTACTGGGAAGCTTTGAAGTTAGTCCAAGGCAGGCTCTCTTAATGTGGATGTGCTACCTTGACTTAGAGCCCGAGGAAGCACTCAGGAGTAATTACTTTGAACGACTCTGGAGAGACGCTATTTCAAAATAGCGGCAGTCTTCTTCTTTCGAATGTCAGGTTCAACACTATATTTCTTCATCAAAGTTGGACGTCCAAACTCTCCAGCCAGCGAACAGCATCGCTGGTTAGATTGTGGATATCCTTCAGTGAGCCAATACATTTTCGTGTTGGGCATTCCACAACAATGTGGTGTATATTTTGCGGACTGCCACAATCACAAAGTGGAGATAGCAACAAATTCCACTTATGCAGTGTGTTCTAAACGGGCTTAGGACCAGGCAGGGTAGATGCAGTTATCTACAGGCAGTCCCCGAGTTACGCGGATCCGACTTATGTTACGAACGGGGTTTGCTCCGCATCTCACTGGTCTGCTGGAGACCAGCAGACCAGGGAGACGGGGAGCAAAGCCTCTGAGCACGCGGGCAGCGGGACAGCGCGTGCTGCGCAGCTTTGCTCCCCATCTCCCTGGTCTGCTGGGGAGGGGGGGAAGGGGGGGAGAGACCAGCAGACCAGGGAGATGCGGAGCAAAGCCGCGGAGCACGTGGGCGGCGGGACCGCGGTGCGTCTCGGTCCGCCGCCCGCGTCTCC